AATGCGTGGGTGGGTGTGCGGGGGAAGGGGGTGGGGATGAGGGGGGGGGGTGATGTGGTGGTGCTTGGGTTGGTGGTCGTGGGCGGCGGTGGGTGGCTTGGGCGGGCGTCCTGGGCGAACGCGTTCTCGCGTTCGCGAGCGCGCCGAACCATCGCCATTCGCATCCGCAACTGCTGGGGACTACTCATCATGCGTGGTGTTGTAGCTTGGTTGCGGTGTATCCAGGGCTGCGCTAGCCCCCGGGCCTCGAGCCTCGAGCTGCCTGTCACGCCCCGACCCCATGTCCGCAAACGCGCCCGACCCCATGTCCGTCCCTTGCACGCCCGCTCTCGCGGCCCCGCCCGCAGACCCGCAGAGGCGCGCTGCCGCGGTGGCCGCGGCGCAGGTTTGTGAGGATAGAAGAGGGGGAGGGGGGGCACACTGAGGAGTGAGGTGGGGGAGAAGAGGGATGAAAGGGGGGATGATGAGGAGAAGAGGGGGGTGACCCCGCACCCACGCCCGCCGCAATCGCACCGAGATAACGAGAGCCCCTCGGGGCTTTAGCGTTGGGCCCTCCTAGAGCCCCAACGGAGGAGTCCCGCGAGGCTCTCGCTCGGGGTGGCGATCGGGGCGGGGTGGCGGCGGGGTCGCCCTCCCCAGTTGACGTGGGCCGTCAACCAGATCCACGATCTCGTCGAAAAGACCGACGCTCTCGCTCAGAAGGCCCGCGGGCGTCAAGGGCCCCGACGAGTGAGCGAAGTGTTTCGCGCTTCGCGGTTCGGCCCCACTCCCCCTCCCAACCCTCATTGTTTGTTGTGATGGGGGGTTGGCGCGAGAGCGCGAAGAGCTTCGCGCTTCGCTCAGAAGCGTGAGTTCGGGGCCCTCGAGGTCGTGTCCCTCGAAGAAGAAGTTGCCACGCTGAAGAGACAGCTGGGCGGGCCTGGCGCAGAGCTCGCGGGCGGCCGCGATGGGTTGTCGGGGGGGCGGGAACCGCCACCAACACCACCAGGGAGGCCGCCTCAAACGATGTGGTCCAACTATGCCCTCCCCGAGCTGGGGATTGGTGATGTCTAGAGCGGGATGGGGGGGCACGCCGCCAGGGAGAACCCCCTTCCCCCCTCCATGCCCCCCTGCATCTCCTCGCCCTGGTGGTGTTGGCGTCGCGTGTCCTCGATCCTAGGCTGGAAGAGTGGAACCGCCAGAACAAGGCCAGACTCGAGGCGGCCCAGGCGGCTAGCCGTGGTGGCGACCTGAAGGTCGGCGGCGCTCCGAGGGGGAAATGAAAAAGGGGGCGGGCCTTCTCAAGGCGGCGGTGCTTCTCGGAGGCCCTCCAGCCTCCTGAGAAGCCTTCTGCGTTTTCGGACACGGCTTGGATAATCTCTCACACGGTATTTGTATGTTGAAGGCCCGCCCTTTTTCATTTCCCCCTCTGAGCTCTCCGCCAAAAAAGGGCCTAGACTCGGACGAGGAGTCCGAGGGGGAGGCCCAGGGGGAGGCCGAGGAGGAGGCCGAGGAGGAGGCCCAGGAGGAGAAGAAGGACGAGAAGGAGGCACCGAGAGCGGAGTCCGAGTCGGATTGAGGCGGGGCGGGCGCGCTCGGAGGCGGGGCCAGGCGGGGCGCGGAGAAGCGCTGCGTTCGCGAGCGCCCAAGCTCTCCCTCCCCGCCCCTTCTCCGCCGCCGCCCCCTGCTCCCTCCTCCCCGCGGCCTCGGGGACAAGGATAGGGAAGGGGCTGCGGCTTCCGAGGAGAAGGAGGAGTCAGGAGGAGGTTCTGGCGCGAACCAAGGGCTCATTTCACCCGAGAGTTAGGGGATGTAGGTTTATCATACGAAACCCAGAACCTTTTGAAGACCAGTGGCTTTAACAAGCATGCCAGGGCCGGACTATGCGCGAGGGCGTCATCGTCGACGCCGGGTTTGAGGACGCTGACGACATGGACGGGTTCTGGCGGCTCCACTTGCACGGCATGCTCATGCCCTCGAGGGCGATGGCGTCGGACGGCCCCGCGATGATCCGCGATCCAGGACTCGACTTTCTGTCCGGGGGGCCACTGGCGGACCTGGCTGCCCGCTTTGGGGCGTTTGGCGCCCGCGCGGAGCGCTGCAGGGAAGATGCCGCGAAGTTGGCGCGCGAGTTCGGCCAGGACAAGTTCCTGCGCGACTGAAAACGGCGCCTGCGCAATTGCAGCCGCGGGGCTGTGCGCTATCGCTAATGCTTCGATGGCGCGAGCGGCCGCGTCGTCAACTGACGGCGACCAGTCCTACACGGATAAAGCAGGACCTCCCGTAGCGCGTGGCGCTGTCTCGTCGCATGGCTCACGGCGCTGTTAGATTGGAGATCGCGGCGCGTGTGAGCGCCACGCCGCGCAGAATAACTCATGGTGCTGTCCCCTGCCCATGGCGCATCCCCTCTTTAGCTGCATGTTACTTGTAATGCGCTCGGGCACAGCCTGCGCTTAGCGCCAGGCGCTGGTCTGCCATAGCGCGCAGGGCGATTTCTTGCAATGTGAACACAGCGCGCGTCGCTGCTAATTACCCCCGCAGATAATTTCTGGAATTGTCGGGTGCTTTTCGTCGCGTTCGCTGCCGGGCTCTGTTGTCTTCACTTTTGGGTGCTTTTAGTAAGGCTCCTTTTTGTTTTAACTTTTCGGTGCTTCTGGTTTCTCGCGCCGCCCTGTTCTTTTCTTGCCGCGTTCGACTTTTGGAGCTCCTCGTTGCTCTCGCTGCCGCGCCCTTTTCTATCCACTTTTCGGACGTTTGTATTGCGGAGATCTTTCAGTGCCCACTTTTAGTTGTTTGTTGCTGCTCCGGTTGCCAACCTTTTTTATTTCTTTCCTGCGCTTTCCTGCGCACTGTGCAATAAGCTGTCATGTGTGTGTGTGTGGCCGCCCAACGTTTACAACATGTTGGGTTCGTTCTTGGCTAATTCCCAGCCCTCCTGTGTTGGGTTCTCGTTTTAAATAGAGCGTTCGCGAGTCCCCTGCTCCCCCGTCCCTGCTTCATGCAGCGCTGCCTCTTTCGTGGTTGCGAACTGTGCAATAGTCGTCACTTTCGTCGTGGGCTGCTGGGGTGTAGTAGCCCGAGACCTCGCAGAATCCTGGGTGGTTGCGAAGTGCGTAATTGTCGCCATGTGCGTGGGTTCCTGGGAGGGACGGCGGAGTGGCGGAGCACGCGAGACCTCGCAGAGCCCTCTGTGGCTGCGCAGTTGTCACCATTTTCGACGGCCGTTGGGAGGTCCAGCGGAGTCCAGGGCTACGCGCATCCATTTGAGACTCGCTGCTCCCTGGGCGGCTACGAACTGCGCAATTGTCGTCAGTTTCGCGGGATCCTGGGGGTCCCGGTCGGGTCGGGGGCCACGCAGATCCAGCCGGGTCCTCGCGGCTCCTGCGGTGGTTGCAGGTTGCGCAGCTGTCGCCACTTTCGTGGGCTCTTTGGAGGGTCGGTGGATGCGAGGGCAGTGCAGGTCCATTTGAGACCCCGCGGCTCCTCTGGTGGTCGCGCACTGTGCACATGTACCCCTGTCCCGCCTGTCGTCGTCCTTGCGGATCCCCAGTCATACAGGAATGCACGTTTTCACTCGTCGACCTCCTACTCATCGACCGGGCTCTTCACCCGTGCTGCTGCTAGGGTGCTTTGCCGGGGTAAGCTATCACGAGCGCCGAGAGCAATCCACGAGTATCCTGGTTTGCCATAGGAGCGCTTCCGATGCATATATCCCAGAGAGAGAGAGAGAGAGAGAGAGAGAGAGAGAGAGAGAGAGAGAGCGAGAGAGAAAGAGAGAGAGAGAGAGAGAGAGAGAAAGAGAGAAAGAGAGAATTCTCCACCAAGGGGCTGCCACCCAACTGGCCAAAGCCCAGGAGGGGGAAACACCTAGGAGTACCAAACGCCCCCCCCATGTTGCTACAGACTCCCGCAACTCCCCCGACCCAATTCGCGCCAGAAGGGCACGCCAAGGTCAGGGCAGAGGAGGCATAGTGCCCTCCTTCCGTCGCGGTGGGGCTGCGTCTGAGTCACCTCGAACTCATCCCGCTGTGCGCGTGTCCTCCTCCCTCTCTCACTCCCCGCTCCCCCTCCGCCTGCCATCCCCTTGGCGCGCGGGAGTCAGGCGACCATTTATTTCCCCGCGATCATCTTCATGCAGGACGAGGCCATGAACGACTTCGGGGCCGAGGTATATCTCGGAAGCCTCGGGGCGTGCCGCTGCTGAGGAAGCTTCTCGGAGGGCCGGAGGACTTTCGAGCCTTCTGAGAAGGCCCGCCCCTTCTCACTTTCCCCCTGGGCTCGCGGCCGAGATCGAGGTTCGAGGGTGGATCGTGGAGGCGCGAGGCTGGAGCTGCTGGGCATGGGAGGCACCACGCGCTGCCTCGCGCAGGCTGCTGCGAAAAAGCAGCAGAGTGCTGGGCCGCCGCCGCGCGAATCACTTCTGGATTTCCGGCGAGGCGTGCTTTTTTTTCAGCCCAGGATAAAGTCGGGCCTGCCCCTCTACAGGAGGAATGTTAAAACATAGTCCAAACATAATCAGGGGACGATTTGTTGAGCATTTGTTTGACCATGTTGGGGTATTTTTTTGCTATTTCCCAACCCTCATTGGTTGGGTATTCGTTTTGAATAGAGCACTGCGGTCTCCAGTCCTTCTCCTCCTTCTCCTCCTCCTTCTCCTCCTCCTTCTCCTCCTCCTTCTCCTCCTCCTCCCGCCTCATCCTCCCGCCTCCCTCCTCCCGCCTCCCGTCTCCCTCTCCTCTTGCTTTGTGCCGACCTCGCCATCTCTGGGGGGCTGCGATCTGCGCAACTGTCCCCACTTTCGAGGGCTGTTGGTGGGTCCTGCGGAGTGAGGCACCGCGGGGATCTGAGCGGGACCTCGCCGTCCCGGGATCTGAGCGGGACCTCGCCGTCCCTGGGGGGCTGCGATCTGCGACACTGTCGCCACTTTCGAGGGCTGCTGGTGGGTCCTGCGGAGGGAGGTGCCGCGGGGATCTGAGCGGGACCTCGCCGTCCCTGGGGGGCTGCGATCTGCAACACTGTCGCCACTTTCGAGGGCTGCTTGTGGGTTCTGCGGAGTGAGGCACCGCGGGGATCTGAGCGGGGCCTCGCCGTCCCTGGGGGGCTGCGATCTGCGACATTGTCGCCACTTTCGAGGGCTGCTGGTGGGTCCAGCGGAGTGAGGCACCGCGGGGATCTGAGAGGACCTCGCCGTCCCTGGGGGGCTGCGATCTGCGACACCGTCGCCACTTCCGAGGGCTGCTGGTGGGTCCTGCGGAGTGAGGCACTGCGGGGATCTTCTGAGCGGGACCCCGCCGTCCCTGGGGGGCTGCGATCTGCGACGTTGTCGCCTCTTTCGAGGGCTGCTGGTGGGTCCTGCGGAGTGAGGCACCGCGCGGACCTGAGCGGGACCTCGCCGTCCTTGGGGGGGGGGCTGCGATACGCGACATGTCGCCATTTTCGAGGGCTGCTGGTGGTTCCTGCGGAATGAGGCACCGACGGGGATCGAGTCGGGACCTCGCGTCTTGGGTGGGGGGGTCTGCGATCTTGCGCACCTGACGCCATTTTCGAGTGTCTTCTGGTGGGTCCTGCGGAAGTGAGGCACCGCGGGCCGATCTGAGGCGGGACCTCGCCGTCCTGGGGGGCTGCGATCTGCGACAGTGTCGCCACTTTCGATGGCTGCTGTGGGTCCTGCGGAGTGAGGCGCCGCGGGGATCTGAGCGGGACCTCGCCGTCCAAGGGGGGCTGCGATCTGCAACACTGTCGCCACTTTCGAGGGCTGCTGGTGGGTCCTACGGGGTGAGGCACCGCGGGGATCTGAGCGGGACCCCGCCGTCCCTGGGGGTCTGCGATCTGCGACACCGTCGCCACTTTCGAGGGCTGCTGGTGGGTCTTGCGGATTGAGGCACCGCGGGGATCTTCTGAGCGGGACCTCGCCGTCCCTGGGGGGCTGCGATCTGCGACGTTGTCGCCACTTTCGAGGGCTGCTGGTGGGTCCTGCGGAGTGAACCCCGCGGGAGCGGAGCGGGACTTCGCCGTCCCTGGGGGGCTGCGATCTGCGACGCTGTCGCCACTTTCGAGGGCTGCTGGTGGGTCCTGCGGAGTGAGGCGCTGCGGGGATCTTCTGAGCGGGACCTCGCCGTCCCTGGGGGGCTGCGATCTGCGACATTGTCGCCACGTTCGAGTGCTGCTGGTGGGTCCTGCGGAGTGAGGCACCGCGGGGATCTTCTGAGCGGGACCTCGCCGTCCCTGGGGGGCTGCGATCTGCGACGTTGTCGCCATTTTCGAGGACCTGCGCCTGGGTGGGCTCTACACTGCGATGTGTGAGGCGCCGGCGGGGAGCTGAGCGGGACCTCGCCTTCCCTGGGGGCTGCGATCTGGCGACGTTGTCGCCGTCGCCTCTTTCGAGGGGCTGCTGGGCTGGCTGGTGGGTCCTGCGGAGTGAGGCGACCGCGGATGGATCTGAGCGGGACCTCGCCGTCCCTTTGGGGGGGCTGCGATCGCGACACTGACGCCACTGTTCACGAACAGTGCTGTGCTGGTGGGTCCGTGTGCGGAGTGGGCGCCGCGGAGATCTGAGCGTGACTCGCGTCCTTGGGGTGGCTGCGATCTGCACGCTCTCGGCCGCTTTTCCATGGGGGGGTGGGGGGGGGGCTCGATGGTGGGTCCTGCGAGTGTGAGGCGCCGCGGGATCTGAGCGGGACCTCGCCGTCCCTGTGGGGCTGCGATCTGCGACACCGTCGCCACTTTCGAGGGCTGCTGGTGGGTCCTGCGGAGTGAGGCACCGCGGGGATCATCTGAGCGGGACCTCGCCGTCCCTGGGGGGCTGCGATCTGCAACACTGTCGCCACTTTCGAGGGCTGCTGGTGGGTCCTGCGGAGTGAGGCACTGCGGGGATCTTCTGAGCGGGACCTCGCCGTCCCTGGGGGGCTGCGATCTGCGACGCTGTCGCCACTTTCGAGGGCTGCTGGTGGGTCCTGCGGAGTGAGGCACCGCGGGGATCTGAGCGAGACCTCGCCGTACCTGGGGGGCTGCAATCTGCGACGCTGTCGCCACTTTCGAGGGCTGCTGGTGGGTTTCTGCGGAGTGAGGCACCGCGGGGATCTGAGGCGGAGTCTCCTCGCGTCCTTGGGGGCTGCGATCTGCGACGCTCAGTCTCGCCACTTTCGAGGGCTGCTTGTGGGTCCTGTCGGAGTGAGGCCGCACGCCTGAAATCTGAGCGGGACGCGCACACCCCTGGGGGGCTGCGATTTGCGACACTGCGTCGCCAACTTTTTCGAGTAGGGCTGCTGATGGGTCCTGCGGAGTGAGGCCCGCGGGGAGATCTGAGCGGGACACCTCAATTCGCGGGGGGCTGCGACGACTCGGCAACACTACTGTTCGCCTCTTATCGAGGGTTCTGGCTGGTGGGTCCCTGCTGAGTGGAGGCGCCGCGGGATCCTGGAGCGGGACCTCGCCGTCCCTGAGGGGTGCGATCTGCGACACCGTCGCCACTTTCGAGGGCTGCTGGTGGGTCCTGCGGAGTGAGGCACCGCGGGGATCTGCTGAGCGGGACCTCGCCGTCCCTGGGGGGCTGCGATCTGCGACACTGTCGCCACTTTCGAGGGCTGCTGGTGGGTCCTGCGGAGTGAGGCGTCGCGGGGATCTGAGCGGGACCTCGCCGTCCCTGGGGGGGGTGCGATCTGCGACGCTGACGCCACTTCCGAGGGCTTCTGGTGGGTCCTGCGGAGTGAGGCACCGCGGGGATCTGAGCGGGACCTCGCCGTCCCTGGGGGGCTGCGATCTGCGACACTGTCGCCACTTTCGAGGGCTGCTGGTGGGTCCTGCGGAGTGAGGCACCGCGGGGATCTGAGCGGGACCTCGCCATCCCTGGGGGGGCTCTTGGAGAGCTGCTGTGGGATACGTTAGGCGCAACGTGCGAATGGTACAGCCAACGGGGGGGGGTGATTTGTGAAACAGACCATCTGCCGGGCGATGGCCATAACGTTGTGCCTACACAAATCCCGCGGGGGCTCTCAAGAGCTGCTGTGGGATACGTTGGGTGCAACGGGCGCACGGCACAGCCAACGGGGGTGATTTGTTATCACGTGGCCCTTAGATCTTGGGAGGCCTGCGAGCCTTCCGATTGCTGCTCGCAAAATCACATGCGTCCCTGTTTCGTCATCGCCCCCGTTGTAGCACTCCTGATGTACTCATGCCTCGCGTTGCGCGAGGGTTGGGTACGTCGCCAGGGTGATTTGATCTTTCGCCCAACAATCCCCGCGTAGGGGGACATGCCCGACCTCAGCCTGGGACCTAGGAGTTCCGTCCCCGATGTCGGCCTCCGGGGCCGGTAGTCGGGCTCCGGGGCCATCCCAAAACGGACCCCGGGCGAGCACCTGGCCCCAGGGAAGCGGCTGGGCGGGACCGCACAGTCGGGGCCCTGAGGAAGGAGCCCTTTTCGTTGGGGAGGGGCTCCGCGTTCCTGAAGTGTTTCGCAGCTTGTCCCACGTTTTCCTTATGTTTTCGATCGGAAATCGAAGTTTAACTTATGGAAGAAAGGGGCCTCGTTCCTTATTTGGGGTTCCTTAGGTCAACGCCCCGACTGTACCTCTGTAGGCCTCCCAGATGGGGCCCGAGTGCATCGACGATGCGGCTCGATGCGGAACCTGATGTTCGCCGCGCCGATGTCTCCGATGCATCGCCGAGGCATCGCCGAAGTCGCCGACGCACTGGCGGTGCAGCAGCGATGCTGCGCGGTTCTCCGACCCCCTTCTGCGCGGACCCCATCTGGTCTGGGAGGCCTCTATTCGTGTGGCCGCGGACCGAAAAAGTGACGTCGGCGGATGTCTGGGCAGCGACGGCGCGTCACGGGAGCACGAGATTCAGGAGAGGGAAAAGCGCAAACACACTTCCTCGTCGACTCCATGGGAACCATGGGGAACTAGCAGAAGTGGGGGGGAAGACGAACACCTAGAAAGATATGAAAAGCTATGGGGGATCCTGGGATTCGTGTGCGTTTATCTCTGTGTCCCTGGGCCCCTTCAGGGAGGCCCCTTAAGATGGAGCAGCGCAGGGGCGGCCCGCCCGCTCGGGCTGGCCCCCGAGTTGGCAGAGGAGTGCGAAGAAGAACAAACGCCATACACGCATAAACTTTTGGCGCTCCGCACGGATTTCTTGGACCTGCGCTGGGATCACCCCCGCCGCCTCCGGCGCCGCCCCCGGCGCCGCCCCCGGCGCGCTCCGCGCGCCAGGGAGGGGGGGTCCCAGCGCAGGTGCAAGAAGTCCGCGCGGAGCGCCAACGGTTTATTTCTCTGCCGTTGTTTCTTCTCTTCGAGGAAGAATGCCACATCGTCCCTCCCTTCTCGCTCCTGTTGGTTCCTGCTGTTGGCGTGTGGCCAGCCCGTTCCGAAGTGCAGGACTCTTGCCGCTGCGTGTGAGAGCCAGAGCTCTGCAGGACTCGACGGGCCACGGCCTTGCGCGCCCTGCCCAAACAGACACGGGCACGCGCGCTTCGCCGCGGGAGCGAGGAGGAGGAGGGGGAGGGGGAGGAGGACAGAGGAGGGGAGGAGGGGGAGGGAAGGGGGGGAGGAGGAGGGGGGTATGTGGAGTGGGGAGGGGGAGGAGGTGGAGGTTGTGGTGGGAGGAGGGAGGTGTGGAAGGGTGGGGTTGAGGAGAGGAAGGGAGTAGGAGGAGGAGGAGGAGGAGAGGGTAGGATGCTAGGAGGAGGAGGAGGAGGTATGAGGAGGAGGAGGGGGTAGGAGGGGAGGAGGGGATGGAGGAGGAGTTCTTGTTCTTGGGTTGCAGGAGGAGGTTGAGGGTTTATGTTGGTAGGTTAGTGGTTTAGGAGTGGAGGAGGAGGAGGGCGAAGGAAGGGGAGTGATGTGGATGCGGCGATGGAGATGCATACACGTTTATGTAAAAGTTGTAGTCTACTTGGTGGCAATTGGGAGGTGTGTAGTAGGGAGGAGGAGGAGGAGCCTCGCTCGCTCGCCTCGCCCCCCGCCTGCGGGGCGCGGCGGACCTCCAGCAGTTCGACGCACTGGGGCGGCACGACGTGCTCCTGCCGCAGCCGGAACCGGGGCCCGGTGGAGCCGGAGCCGCTGGGGGGCTGGCCCCAGCTGCCATCGTGGCACAGTCCCCCTACATCCCCAGAGATCCAACGTGTTGAAACAATCGATATCAAGACGGAGGTCTTCGCAACTTTCGGCCTAGCGGCCCTCGCTGGGCCTCGGGACCGGCAAGAAACGGGTCAGGAAGAGACGCCGGTCCTGGGGAATGGGTCGAGACTTCCGGGGACCCCGTATTGAAGAGAACCACGACATCGGATCTCTGGGTCTCAGGCGGTGCCAAAGGCCCAGACCGCCCACAGGTCGAAGACGAAACAGTTGCAGGAGCATAATTTGTCGGAGCTCTGCACGGGGTTCTTCGATCGGCGTTGGGGCCCCCCTGAGGCGGCGCCTCCGGCGCCGCCCCTGGCGCGCTCCGCGCGTCAGGGAGGGGCGTCGGGGGGCCCAGCGCCGATCGAAGAAACCCGCGCGGAGGTCAGGCAGTCGATGCTCACGCTGCTTGTCTTCTTTGACAGAGGGGCTGGAACAGACTCGAGAGAGATTGGAGTATCAAGGTGAAAAGGTTAATGAATGGCTTTTGGTGCCCAAATTTGGTGTTTGAAACGTTTATGATTAAATCGGGCGTGTCCCTCTACAGGAGGGATGTTCAAAAATAGTGTAAAGTAGTCAGGGAACGACTTTTTGATCATTTGTTTGTTATTTTTGGGTATTGTTGGGGTATTCTTAGTTTCTCGCGCAGATTCCGCCTGTAGGGGAACATGCCCGACCTAAGTCCATGATGTCCTTCGGTGCCCGCCCTGTCCCGTCCGCAGGGACTTCGCACCACCCCTTGCTGGTGGGGAAGCGGGCGGACGCGCCGCCCTTTCTGGCGTCGCACGTGCTATCGCCAGGGGTGGTGGGGAATTTGGACAAGCTGACCACTCCCTTCCCCCATCCCTCCCGCATGGCTCAAAGTCCCCCCCCAAGTAATACTCCCAGTTGAGGCTGATATATGCTCCGTGCCGCCGTGGTGATCGCACCATACCGCCGATGCGGCGCGACCCAGTGCTCGATGTTCCGCAGCACTAGGAGGAGGAGGAGGAGGAGGAGGAGGAGGAGGAGGAGGAGGAGGAGGAGGAGGAGGAGGAGGAGGAGGAGGAGGAGCAGGAGAAAGAAGGAGGAGGAGGAGGACGTATCGTTGTAGCATGGGCGATGCAGTGTGATTCTCCGACATTACTTGTTCTGTCTTTGTTCGGGCGGCCTCTCTCAAGGGGGGCCCACCACTTCTGGGGGTCGCCAGCTCCGCCTCGCGGGTCGACGGGCTCCTTCCGACGCTCTGGGATTTGGGGAGCCTCTGGATGATTCGGGGGTCCTGACGTGTCCTCCTCGTCCTCCTCTTCCTCCTCGTCCTCCTCGTCCTCCTCCTCTTCCTCCTCCTCCTCTTCCTCCTCCTCCTCCTCCTCCTCCAGCTCCTCCTCCTCCTCTCCTCCTCCTCCTCCGTCTCCTCCTCCTTCTCCTCCTCCTGTGCTCCTCCTCCTCCTCCTCCTCTGCCCGCTTCGTCCGTGCCCTCTCCTGCTGTCCTCCCCCTCCTCCTCCTCCTCCTCCTCCTCCTCCTCCTCCTCCTCCTCATCCTCATACTCCTGGGTTCGCCGCTGGAACGGCTGAGGTCCGCCGCGCCCCCCATGGCGGGGGGCGAGGGAGCGGCGAGCTCCCTCGCTCCTCCTCCTCTCCGCCTCCTCCTGCCTCCCTCTCCTCCTCCTCCTCCTCCTCCTCCTCCTCCTCCTTCTCCTCCTCCTCTTGCTCCGTCCCCTCGTCCTCCTTCTCCTCCTCCTCCTTCTCCTCTTCCTCCTGGGGGTCCCTTGGCACTGCCTGGTGCGTCGCCGAGAGCATCTACTACCACACCCACCGGCGCGTCCCTGCGGTCCGCCCGCTCGCATTGTACGTCGGGGCCCGCTACGCCCCCAACTCGACGGACCCGCGGGCAGCGCGCGTCATGGTGATGTCGAGGGGGGAAGCGCGACGACCGCGGCCAAGTCGTCGCGGGATCTTGTCGACGCCGATCTTTCGAAGAAGAAACAACCACATAAACATAAACTTTTGGCGCTCCGCGCGGATTTCTCGGATCCTCGCCGGGTAGCCCCCCGGCGGCGCCTCCGGCGCCGCCCCTGGCGCGCTCCGCGCGCCAGGGAGGGGGGTCCGGCGCGGATCCGAGAAATCCGCGCGGAGCGCCAAAAGTTTCTGTTTGTGTGTGTGTGTGTGTGTTTTTCTTCTCTTCTTCTTCTTCTTCTTCTTCTTCTTAAGGTGTCGCGAGATCTTGTCGACGCGGATCTTGGACATGGCTCATGCTGGCACTCGCCGATTCGCGAGGATGATCCACGAGTTGACGCTGGCCGAGGCGGACGACGGCCAAGATCGGTACCGAGGCCTCCGCGTTAGCAGACGTCTGGTCCCGTGATCTTCTCACAGCGTGGCTCCCAAGGGCTACGGATCTGCACGCCCGAAATGGGTACTGAAAGAATGGGTGCAATGCTCAACAGCAGTTCCTGTTCATCTTGAACAGGGCTCGCTGTCCGCGCCGCCGCGGCCTGTGTCCATTCGAGACAGGAGGCCGCCTGCCCAACAGCGGCCGCTGTTGGTTTGGGACAACATTTGCTGTTGGGCATTGTACCCATTTTTTCGGTACCCATTTCGGGCGTCCAAAACGGACCTCTTCCCAGGAACCGGCTTTTTATTCCGAGTCGTTTTTCGACGGTCCCGGGGCCTGGCTCGGGCCCCCAGAAGCCTTCCGTCGCGATTTTTCCACAGCGCTGAGGTTTTCGGATGCAACTCCTAGGAGGTCAAATTCTGCCTTTGCCTTGGTCCGACATTCGGTTTAATCTGGCCAGATCTGGCTTGATCCCGATTACTCCGGCTTAATTCGGCTCAATCCGGTTCAATCCCGATTCACCCGCGGCCTAATCCGGCGTGGCATTCCCCCCTGTGGGGCTCAATTCTCCCTGATCCTTCCGACGAAGACCTCCCAGTAGTTGCCTCCTGAGAGGATGTCTGGGCTCAGTCTTGGCCATGGTCCTCGCTCTCTTTCCCTCCGTGATGTGCGCCCGGACCCGCCTGCTGATGTCGCAGGGCTGCCGCGCGCTGTTCCGCGAGGCGCGCCGCGCGCTGCCGCTGGCCTCCAGGCTGCGGCTCTTCCTGCCGATAGGTGCGGGGCAGCGCAAGGTGGAGGAGGAGGAGGAGGAGGAGGAGGAGGAGGAGGAGGAGGAGGAGGACGAGGATGAGGAGGAGGAGGAGGAGGAGGAGGGGGACAGGCTCATTGGGCGACGAAGTCTGCACAGATCCACTGCTCCTTGGCCAAGGCCATGCTGAACCCAGAAGCTGTGCGTTATGCCCTCCTAGGCCGACCCAGGAGGCCGTGGCGTGCACACCGCCGCTGGGCTCAGGATGGGCCTGGCCAGGGAGCAGTGGATATGCACAGATTTCGTCGCCCTGGCCCAGGGGGGGATGCATCGAACCCCCCCAAAATCGCCCCTCCCTCGTCGGCTCTCGGCGCTCCTGGCGGTTTTCTGAGGTCTTTGGGGGCGTCTTCGCTGGTCCTCGGCGGTTTCCTGGCCTCGGGGGGGCCCGCCAGCAGCCGCGCCCCGCCGGGAGGCGTTTTTTTCCGCTGGGCTGCCCGGGTCGTCCCCAGGTCGGCCGCCGGAGTCCGGAGGGTCAGGACCCGGAAACTGGACCACGAGGATCATTGGGAGCGATACAGTCCTCCTCCTCCTCCTTCTCCTCGCCCTCCTCCTCCCTCCTCCCCCTCGCCCTCGCTCCTCCTCCTCCTTCTCCCCGGCCTCTCTTCTCCTCCTCCTCCTCCTCCTCGCCGCTCCTCCTCCTCCTCCTCCTCCTCCTCCTCCTCCGCCTTCTCCTCGAACTCCTCCTCGCCCTCCTCCTTCCTGTCCTCCTCCTCCTCCCCCTCTCCTCCTCCTCCTCCTCTCCTCCTCCTCTCTCCCGTCCTCCTCCTCCTCCTACCCCGGGTGGGCTGCCTCCCCTCCCCCCTCCTCCTCCCCTCCTCCTCCTCCTCCTCCTCCTCCTCCGTGCCAACTCCCCCCCAGCCCGCTGCGTCCCGCCACCCCCCTCTCCTCCTCCTCCTCCTCCTCTCCTCCTCCTCACTCCTCCTCCTCCTCCTCCTCCTCGCCTTCTCTCTCCCTCCTCCGCCTCCCCTCCCCGCATAGTAAGGATGGGCAACATTCCGAATGGTTCCCTTGCATCCTTGCCTCCTCGGCCCATCCTTGGCCACTCTCGTTGGCCGCTCGAAGAGCTTCGAAATGGGCGTCCAAGGCCCTTTGCATCCTTATCGCGCATCCTTCTGATGCGTGCCGCCTGTAGGTTCAGAAATGAAGACAGAACGCAGGAAAACGAAAACAAAACGAAAACTAACAAAACTGTTTAGCTCGAGCCCTGGGGGGCGCCATCGACCCCCAATCGCCCATTCATCGCCGACAGGGGCCCGATAGCCCACCCCGCCCAGGACCGTGCGAATTGGCGTTATGGGGCCTATCGACGGTCTATCGGCGACGCATCGCCGATTCCAGCCCGATGTTTCCCCCCCGGAACGCTCCCCCCTCCTAACCTTAAGTCGGGCCTGTCCCCCTACAGGGGGATTTTCGACGAAAAATAAAAAAATACCCCCAAAATATGCCATACTCAAAAAATAGTCCCCATATTATGTTTGGAATATTTTTTATTTTTCGTCGAAAATTCCCCTGTAGGGGGACAGGCCCGACTTAATCCTAACCGCTGCCCTGGAACAGGGGACGGGGACGTGGTCCACGGACTCTCGTTCGAGGACGTCGCCAAGTTCGACGCGTCCGTGCTTGTGCCCTGGAACTCAGAGACGGAAATTACGCCGACACCGCTGCGCGTCCCGGGGAGCCCTCGTCGTCACGGCTGGACTCTCCTCGAGATCCTGACCAGCACGCACCCCGGGAGAGGTCCAGGGAGCAGCGGCACCGGTGCCCTCTCGCCCCACCAGGAACATCGCGGTCACCACGTTCGTGGAGATGTACGCGATGCACATGCCGCTCTTCGTGCCCGACGAGCTCTGGCTCGCGAGGCTGTGGCCGAAGCAGATGACGAGCTACGGGCGCGCGCACCCCGGGCTCCACCGCGAGTTCAGGCTCGGAGGAGGAAGGAGGCCATACAGTGCCGTTTTTAATACATGCTCCGCATGCGGATCATGTATTAACAATGCAGGGATTTAGTACTAAAAAGAAAAAGCGTGTTCTACCGCTGCTGGCGGAAAACCGGGGGGGGTCACTACCGGTTCGAACCCCTCCCCCCCCCCTCCGGAAAACCGGGGGGGGTCACTACCGGTTCGAACCCCTCGCCCCCCCCAGTTCATCATGAAAAGCGGGGGGGGTCACTACCGGTTCGAACCCCTCCCCCCCCCCACCTTCGAACTCGAAAACCGGGGGGGGTCACTACCGGTTCGTTCCCCCCCCCCCCTCGAAAACCGAGGGGGGGTGCGGACAGTGGTGGGGACCGTGGTGGTGGGGACAGTGGTGAGGGGACAGCGGGACAGTGGTGGGGACAGTGGGACAGTGGTGGGGACGGTAGTGGTGGGGACAATGGTGGTGGGAACAGTGGGGACAGTGGGACAGTGGTGGGGACGGTGGTGGTGGGGACAGTGGTGTGGGGACAGTGGGAATGTGGTGGAAACAGTAGGACAGTGGAGGGTACAGTGGTGGTGGGGACAGTGGTGAAGGCGGTGGCGAGGACGGCGGTGGGACAATGGGACAGAGGTACAGTGGGGACAGTGGTGGGGACAGTGGGGACAGTGGTGGGAACAGTGGGACAGCTCAGTGGGACAGCGGAGGAGTCAGTGGGACAGTGGGGACAGTGGGGATAGTCGGGCAGTGGTTGGGGCCGTGGAGAAAGTTGGGAGAGTGGAGCCGTGGGTGGGAACAGTGGTGGGGACAGTGGGGACAGTGCGACAGTGGTGGTGGCACTGGTGGGGACAGTAGGGGCGGTGGTGGAACCAGTGGGGACAGTGGTGGTGAGTGGTGCTGGGAACAACAGTGGGGGATGTGGTGAGGACGGTGGTAGGGACCGGGAGTCGTTTGCTGGCGGTGAGAGGGGGGGTGGGGAGGGGTTCGAACCGGTAGTGATCCCCCCCTCCGGTTTTCGAGGGGGGGGGGTTCGAACCGGTAGTGACCCCCCCCGGTTTTCGAGGGGGAGGGGTGGGGGGGGAGGGGTTAGGGAGGGGGGGTTTGCGGGGGGTTTTGCATGGGGAGGGGTGGGGGGTCCAGCAGGGGGGGGGGGGATTTTTGGGAGGGGGGGTGGGGACCCCCGGGTTCGGAGGAAAAGGGCGGCAATTTTCCACAGTGAAGCGGCGGTGGATCACGCTCTCTCACTAAAAACAACGATGAGTTCATGCCTGCATTTATCCATACATTAATCATGAATTGAAAATCGAATATCTTTTTTAAATCCCATGTATTGAAAACTGCCCTGTACCAGCACCACCACCACCACCACTACCACCAAATGGGGCCACCTCTGGCGAGGGGGCCCACGCTGCCCGCTGGAGCTGAATGATGCTCTTGTGTCCTTTGTCTAGCCAGAGGGGACATCTCCAGCGAGCGGGGGGGGGGGCCGAACGGGGCTAGGACGAAGGTAAATCCGTTCCAGAGCGTGCCGGACCGCTCTCGTAGCGTTCCGGGAGAAGGCCGCGGCGTCCGCGACATTCTGCAGAGCCGCTGGATCTCCGCTTCCATGCACCGATTCCGTGTCATCTGCAGGTGCTTCGCTACCCCAGTCCAGGGTTTTTGTTTCGGGCCTGGAGGGTAGCGCGTATTTGCAAGTATTCGGCAGCCGACAGCCAGACTTTGGAAACACAGTGTGGTGGACGTTGATAGGTGCTTCGCGAGTTCCCTTCCCTTCACAAACAAACAACTTAAAAAAGAGCCGCTGGACCTCAGAGGTTCTGTATTTATCTTCGCCTGGATTTGTCCTCGTCCCGGCTTCGTCTCGTGGGGGGGGGGCAGCACTGCCGGGAGGGCCCCCGGCACCTCGCGCCCGGGGTGGGCGCTCTCGGGTCACAGAGCTCGGGTTGGGTCGGGCGTGTCCTCCTACAGGCGGATTGAGGTTGAAGGACAGATGAACAACAGTAAGCAAACATGCTCAACCATGCAACAAACATTGTAGACAAATCGTCCCCCCGCCTTTTTTTTTTTTTTTTACTATGTTGGAGTGTTCCTCCTGCAGAGGGGCAGGCCCGACGTTGAGCTCGGGGGTCTCCGGCGGCCGCTCGGGACGACCACGGCGGCCCCTGCAGCGCGTTCGATGACGTCTCGAGGCGCGGCTGCTGGAGAGCATCCCGAGGCTTGACAACGGCCAGACATCATCGAGACAAATCACAGACACAAATCATCATTATCATCATCATCATCATCATCACCATCATCATCGTCATCATCATCATCATCATCATCATCATCATCATCAGCATCATCAGCATCATCAGCATTATCAGCATTATCATCATCATCTTCATCATCACCATCATCATCTCCTCCTCCTTCTCATCAAAACGGCACACAGACACAAATCATTGTCGATTCCAAGGGAAAGATGGGAAAGCATGGAAGGCTGGGGGGGAAGACGAACGTCCGGAAAATACGGAAACCAAGTATGGCGAACCCGACTTGTGCCTATCTCTCTGCGTGTCCCTGGGCCCCTTCAGAAAGCAAATGCAGTCCAAAAGACCTTCGAACCCAAAGCCGTGAAAGTCTCGGTCCCTTGAACTGCAGAGGCTTGCATGGGCATGACGTCTCGAGGGCTCCGCGCGGGTTTCCTGGATCGGCGCGGGGCCCCGCCCCTTGGCGGCGCCAGCGCAGACGTCTGAGAACTTCGCGCGGGCATCCGAGAATCTAGGCTTTAAGTCCGGCATGTCCCTCCACAGGAGGAGTATCCAAAAATAGTCGTAGTTTGGGGGCGATTCTTCTTTTTGATTTTCCAATTTTTTTCCTCCAAAATCGGCCTGTGGGTGGACACGCCCGACCTAAGTCTATGTATTTTCTGTTGCTCCAGGCCACCGTCCTGTGAGTACAGGAAGGACGCCATCGTGCCGCTCTTCCTTTCGTGAGCTGACAACTACACTGGAAGCCCATGCCGAAAAGTACCCTGCTTGCCTCCAGGGCGCCCTGTGATTCTTGGGTTTCGATGGCTTTGCTATGGAGACGTGACGTTCCCACATCAAAAAACAATCAACGTCCTGGGGTCTGAGGGTCGGGGTTCTTGTGGAACGTTTCTCATGGCCGAGTTCCCATTCTATGCCTCTTTTGTTGCTCCAGACCCCCGCCCCGAGAGTCTGGGCAAGGCGCCATCGTGCCGCTCCTCCTTTCGTGAGCTGGCAACCAGCACCCACACCCAGTTGTGCTCCTCACTCCTCTTCCTTCTTCTTCTCCTCCTCCTTCTCCTCCTCCTCCTCCTCCTCTTTCGTCTCCTCCTCCTCCTCCTTCCGTTTTGGGGGCCTTCTGGATGTCTGTCATCGGACTGGGGGTTCCCCCCGCTCGAACGGGAGCTCCCCCTCGAGGTCCGACGACTCGCACCCAGGGCCTGCTGCGCCCTCATCGCCTTGCCCCTCCCCGCACCTCCTCCCCATTGGGTCTAAGTCGGGCCTGTCCCTCTACAGGCGGAAGATTCAAAATGAGTCAAAACATAGTCTTGGGTCGATTCTTCGTCAATTCTTTAATATTTTTGAATATTTCCCAACCATCCTGTGGTGTTGGGTCTTCGTTTTGAAGAGACGGTCCCCGCGTTCTCCTTCTCTCCTCCTCTTCCCCCTCCTCCTCCACCGTCCGCATGCGTCCCGCACACCCGATACAGCGTGCCGTGGCCCTCCTCCCCCTCCTCTCTGCGTTTCACCCACCCAGTACAGCGTTTCGTGCCCCATAGGGAGCCCCACCGAAGGTCCCAGTGCTACCGTCCGCATGCGTCCCGCACACCCAGTACAGCGTTTCGTGGCCCCATAGGGAGCCCCACCGAAGGTCCCAGCGCTACCGTCCCCGTCCCGCACACCCAGTACAGCGTTCGTGGCCATAGGGAGCTCCACCGAAGTCCCAGTGCTACCGTCCGCATGCGTCCCGCACACCCAGACAGCGTTTCGTGGCCCCTCTCCCTCCTCCCTGCGTTTCACCTACCCAGTACAGCGTTTCGTGGCCCCATAGGGAGCCCCACCGAAGGTCCCAGTGCTACCGTCCGCATGCGTCCTGCACACCCAGTACAGCGTTTCGTGGCCCCATAGGGAGCCCCACCGAAGGTCCCAGTGCTACCGTCCGCATGCGTCCCGCGCATCCAGTACAGCGTTTCGTGGCCCCATAGGGAGCTCCACCGAAGGTCCCAGTGCTACGGTCCGCATGCGTCCTGCGCACCCAGTACAGCGTCTCGTGGCCCTCCTCCCCCTCCTCTCTGCGTTTCACCCACCCAGTACAGCGTTTCGTGGCCCCATAGGGAGCCCCACCGAAGGTCCCAGTGCTACCGTCCGCAGGCGTCCCGCACGCCCAGTACAGCGTTTCGTGGCCCCATAAGGAGCCCCACCGAAGGTCCCAGCGCTACCGTCCGCATGCGTCCCGCACGCCCAGTGCAGCGTTTCGTGGCCCCATCGGGAGCTCCACCGAAGGCCCCAGTGCCCCCGTCCGCATGCGTCCCGGAAGCCCAATTTGGCATTTTCATTCACCCAGTGCAGCGTTTCGTGGCCCCATAGGGGGCTCCACCCAAGGCCCCAGTACCACCGTCCGTATGCATCCGGGAAATGTAATTTGGCATTTTCACCCGCGCAGTGCAGCGTTTCGTGGCCCCATAGGGGGCTCCACCGAAGCCCCCAGTGGACCGTCCGCATGCGTCCCGGAAACCCATTTTGGCATTTTCACTCACTCAGTAGAGCGCTTCGTGGCCCCATAGGGAGCTCCACCAAAGCCCTCAGTGGGACCGTCCGCATTCGTCCCGGAAACCCAATTCGGCACACCACCCACACAGTACAGCGTTCCCCCCCGCCCAGTGCAGCGCTTCGTGGCCCCACAGGGAGCTCCACCGAAGCAGATATTCACAATTACGGTATCCACAACTCTGCATATGGTTGGGACCTTCGCCAGGATAATTTTTGGGTATTTCTCGCTTTTCTCCCAAAAGCCCCCTGTATGGGGGACATGCCCGACCTAACCCTATTAGGTTTGCTTGTGCGCTGCGCTGTTCTTGCCTCATCCTTCAGGGGCAGCGCCCCCCGCGGCGCGCGGCACCCGACGCCGTACCCCTCCCTGGACCGCGTGGCGGCAGGGCCGCGGGCCCGCGCGCCGAAGCGCCGCGCTCGTCGACGTCGTCGTCGTCGTCGCCGCCGCCGAGGCAGACCCCTTCGAGGCATGGAAACGTCACGACGGACAGTTTTTCACCATTTTCGGCCTCTGGGGGCCCTCGGCCGGGCCCCGAGGCCGCCAAAGAACGGTTCGGGATGGCTAGCCGGTCCTGGGGAGTGGGTCACCTCTTAGGGTCGGCGTGATGGGCAAATCATGACGTCGGGGGTCCGTCGTCGTCGTCGTCGTCGTCGTCGTCGTCGTCGTCGTCGTCGTCGTCGTCGGCGTCGGCGTCGGCGTCGGCGTCGGCGTCGGCGTCGGCGTCGGCGTCGGCGTCGGCGTCTTCGGCGTCGGCGTCGGCGTTGGCGGCGTCGGCGTCGGCGTCGGCGTCGGCGTCGGCGTGGGCGTGGGCGTGGGCGTGGGCGTTGGCGTGGGCGTGGATGTCGTGTCGTCGTCGTCGTCGTCGTCGTCGTCGTCGTCGTCGTCGTCGTCGTCGTCGTCGTCGTCGTCGTCGTCGTCGGCGTCGGCGTCGGCGTCGGCGTCGGCGTCGGCGTCGTTCTCGCGTCAATATCGCCGTCGTTCTCGTCGTCGTTACCCCTCCTGCCGTCGTCGTCGTCGTCGTCGTCGTCGTCGTCGTCGTCGTCGTCGTCGTCGTCGTTGTCATCGTCGTGGTTGTGGTCAACGTCGTCAGCCTCGTGGTCAGGAGGCAGAAGCAGGATGAGGAGGAGGATGATGAGGAGGAGGATGAGGAGGAGGAGGAAGAAGAAGAGGTGGAACTGGGCGGCGAGGAGGAAAAGGTGAACAAGGACACTCGAAGGACCAACCCAGAAACTTGGTGCGAGCGGAAACAGAGGGTGAATCTGGAAACGTGGGAGGGCGAACCAGGAAACTGATGGGGTGCAAACCTGGACACCCGATTCGATGCTGGTCGATCCTGCCCCCCCCGACCGATCGCCGTGAGAGAGCCAGGCGGAGGACTTCCGCGCCATGCTGTATTGGGCGTCGCACTACGCTCACCTCCACAACCTTCCAGGCAGCGGCGGCGGCAGTGGAGGGGCAGCGTAGGTCAGGAAGGCCCAGTGTGAGGAGAACAAATGTGTTCTCAGAGAGTTCTGGAGCGCTCTGGCACGGCCGCTGCGCCCCTTAAAAGATCCAGGCTCCCCGGCTCTTAGAGACTGCAGGTCTTGATGTCGTCCGATGTTGTCTTCATCCTGCCGTCGCGTTAGTAGGGGAGGAGGCGAAGGGAGGGGTTGGACAGGGCAGGGGGGGGGGAGAGCAATGGAGGAGGTGGAGAGGAGAAGGAGAAGGAGGAGGAAGAGGAGGAGAAGGAAGAGGAGGAGAATGAGGAGGAGGAGGAGGAGGAGAGGAGGAGGAGGAGGAGGGAGGAGGTGGAGGAGGAGGAGAGGAGGGGCGAGAAGGATGATGATGATGATGCTGATGCTGCTGCTGCTGATGATGATGATGATGATGATGAGGAGGAGGAGGAGGAGGAGGAGGAGGAGGAGGAGGAGGAAGAGGAATATTAATATCAATAATACTAAGAACAAGAAGCAGAGGAGGAGGAGGAGGAGGAGGGCGAGGAGGAGGAGGAGGAGAAGGAGGAGGAGGAGGAGGATCGATCGATCGAGCTGTCGGGCCGATGTCGAGGGTGACTCGTGCTCTAAGCTAGAACAGAGTGGCTGTTTAAAAATCTAGCTCGGCCTAGCTGTGGTTCGCTTCGTAGCCTTGGGGAGCAGACGTCATCTGACGCTCGGGCCCTGCCTGCACCGTCAACCCCACGCAGGGGCCTGCGGGCAGGGTAGCACCCGCCCTCACGGGAGTCTACCCGCTCTGCTGCCCGCGGCGGGAGCTCACGCCGCCTGTCCTCCTCCTACCTATGCCTGCCACGTCGGGCCCCGAACGGCATCCGACGAGCCAGGTACAGGCAAGTGGACGGCAGGTGGCCCGAGCCCCTGAAAAGCCTTACACCTGACTGTCTTCACCCTGGCTGGCTTCACTCTCTACATCGTCGTTATTGTCTTCATCGGAACTCAGGCTGGTATGCATGGAAAGGACAGTGCCGTTGTGGTCGAGCTCAAATACCTGTAATGAGGCCCACCACGAAAGTGCTTCGCCAACCATCTCCGACAGGATGCGTCCGAGCCACTCCCGAGAAGCTGCGTGGCCCTCTCGAAGCCGCTCCTCCACGAGATCGTACACGAGGTCTGCGCACATGGCCTCGGGGTTCTGCTTCGACGTGTCGAGCTGGTTCTCCCTGTCGTCGACCTTGCTCTTCGCGGTCTTACCCTCGATCTTTAGTGCGTCTTCCGACTCCTGCGTGTGGTAGCACAGCGGCTCCTCTCCGCTCTGCTGGTCCTCGCACTCCTCCTGGGGCCGCTCCTCCTGCGGGGGGGTGTGCGTGCCGTAGCCTAGGAGGCCGCTCGGGTACGCGAGCTCGTCCGAGAAGCACGTCGAGTATTCCACCTCTGTGCCGCCCTCGAGATCCTCCTCGGAGTAGTGGTCCTCGTTATCCTCGCTCTCGGAGGGTGTGAGCCTCGAGTCCGATGGCCGCGCCTCCAGCGCCCTCATCATCCGCACGGTCTCCTTGTAGTCGATCTGGTCGTTTCCGTTTGTGTCCGCCTCGCGATTCATCTCGTCTGTGTCCTTGTGGCGCTGCTCCGCGGCGCTGATGAATCCCTTCCCGCCGTGTTCGAAGATCTTGATCGCCTCGATCAGCTCCTCCTCGATGTCGGTGTCCTGTAGGGTGTTGTACGTACCGTGGTCATCCGCGCCATGAAACCGCCAGCCAAGCAGTGCCGCACGAGCTACGTGCAGCCGCTGTCTCCGGTCCGCGCGCCTGCGCGCCGCCGAAAGGCCCGCGGCTGGGTGCCACAGCCCAGGCGGGGCGGGCACTCGTCCTTGGACAGCCAGATGCAGGTCCCGCGGCTGCGCCGCCGCGGCCAGCCGAGCCCGTCTCCTCCGCCTCCCATGCCGTCGCTGCCATGCGGGCCTCCGCCCAGTCGGTCGTCATCCACGTGCTGTGGAATGGCTGGGTTGGGGTGTGCGCTGCCCTGACAATCTCTTGGGCCCAGATGGCAGCTGGAGGAGGAGGAGGAGGAGGAGGAGGAGGAGGAGGAGGAGGAGGAGGAGGAGGAGGAGTAGGAGGAGGAGGAGGAGGGAGGAGGAGGAGGAGGAGGAGGAGGAGGAGGAGGAGGAGGAGGAGTAGGAGTCCACCATAAAGTGAGATCGAGCCCTCGTAGGCATTTTTATAGCTGTATCGAGCCTCATGTGTTCGTGTTCTACTTGAACTGGATCTAGCTGTGCATGGGTCCTGTAAAAATAGAGCGAGCCCTAGCATGTTTTCATTAGAGCTGGATCCAGCGCTAAAGAGATTTTGCATGAATGCTGGATCGAATCGTAATAGGTTTTTAATTCCCAACCATCCTGTGGTGTTGGGTCCTCGTTTTGAAGAGACAGCGCCCCGCGTCCTCACTCCTCCTCCTCTCCTCCTCTCCTCCTCCCTCCTCCTCCCTCCTCCCCCTCCTCCCTGCGTTTCACCCACCCAGTACAGCGTTTCGCGGCCCCATAGGGAGCCCCACCGAAGGTCCCAGTGCTGCCGGCCGGCACACCCAGTACAGCGTTTCGTGGCTCTCCCCCCCTGCTCCCTGCGTTTCACCCACCGCTTCGTGGCCCCATACAGAGCCCCGCCGAAGGTCCTAGTGCTACCGTCCGCATGCCTCCCGCACGCCCAGTACAGCGTTTCGTGGCCCCAAGGGGAGCCCCACCGAAGGTCCCAGTGGTGCCGCCCGTATGCGCCCCCCTCACCCAATACAGCGTTTCGTGGCCCTCCTCCCCCTGCTCCCTGCGTTTCACCCACCCAGTACAGCGTTTCGTGGCCCCACAGGAAGCTCCACCGAAGCTCCCAGTGCTGCCGCCCGTATGCGTCCCGCACACCCACTATAGCGTTTCGTGGTCCTCCTCCCCCTCCCTGCGTTTCGCCCACCCAATACAGCGTTTCGTGGCCCCATAGGGAGCCCCACCGAAGGTCCCAGTGTTTCCGTCCGCTTGCGTCCCGCACGCCCAGTACAGCGTTTCGTGGCCCCATACGGAGCCCCGCCGAAGGTCCCAGTGCTACCGTTCGCGTGCCTCCCGCACGCCCAGTACAGCGTTTCGTGGCCCCAAGGGGAGCCCCACCGAAGGTCCCAGTGGTGCCGCCCGTATGCGTCCCCCCCACCCAGTGCAGCGTTTCGTGGCCCTCCTCCCCCTGCTCCCTGCGTTTCACCCACCCAGTACATCTATAGGAATGCCCACCGAAGGTCCCAGTGCTGCCGCCCGTATGCGTCCCGCACACCCACTACAGCGTTTCGTGGTCCTCCTCCCCCTCCCTGCGTTTCGCCCACCCAATACAGCGTTTCGTGGCCCCATAGGGAGCCCCACCGAAGGTCTTAGTGTTTCCGTCCGCTTGCGTCCCGCACGCCCAGTACAGCGTTTCGTGGCCCCATACGGAGCCCCGCCGAAGGTCCCAGTGCTACCGTTCGCGTGCCTCCCGCACGCCCAGTACAGCGTTTCGTGGCCCCAAGGGGAGCCCCACCGAAGGTCCCAGTGGTGCCGCCCGTATGCGTCCCCCCCACCCAGTGCAGCGTTTCGTGGCGCTCCTCTCCCTGCTCCCTGCGTTTCACCCACCCAGTACATTTATAGGAATGCCCACCGAAGGTCCCAGTGCTGCCGCCCGTATGCGTCCCGCTCACCCACTACAGCGTTTCGTGGTCCTCCTCCCCCTCCTCCCTGCGTTTCACCCACCCAATACAGCGTTTCGTGGCCCCATAGGGAGCCCCACCGAAGGTCCCAGTGCTGCCGCCCGCTTGCGTCCCGCACACCCATTACAGCGTTTCGTGGCCCCACAGGAAAATCCACCGAAACCACCCGTGGGACCGTCCGCATGTGTCACGACACACCTAATTTGGCATTTTCGCCCACCCACTACAGCGTCTCGTGGTCCCATAGGGAATTCCACCGAAGGCCCCAGTGCCGTCGTCCGCATGCGGCGTTGCGACACACCTAATTTAGCATTTTCGCCCACCCAGTACAATGTTGCGTGGCCCCATAGGGAGCCCCACCGACGGCCCCAGTGGGACTTTCCGCAAGAGTTCCGAAACACCCAATGTGGCATTTTCACTCACCCAGTACAGCGTTTCGTGGCCCTATAGGGAGCTCCACCGAAGGCCTCAGTGCCACCGTCCGCATGCGTCCCGAAAGCCCAATGTGGCACTTTCACCCGCCCACTGCAGCGTTTCGTGGCTCCACAGGGAGCTCCACCGGAGCGCCCAGTGGGACCGTCCGCGTGCGTCCCGGAAACTTAATTTGGCATTTCTTCCTACCAGTGCGGCGCTTCGTAGCCCCATAGGCAGCTCCACCGAAGGCCCCAGTGCCACCGTCCGCATGCGTCCCCGGAACCCAATGTGGCATTTTCACACACCTATTACAGCGTTTCGTGGCCCCATAGGAAACTCCACCGAAGCGCCCAGTGGGACCGTCCGCATGTGTCCCGGAAGCCCAATGTGGCACACCACCCACTCAGTACAGCGTTCCCCCCACCCAGTGCGGCGCTTCGTTGCCCCATAGGGAGCTTCATGGTTGGGTCCTTCGCCAGGATAATGGGCATGGGTCCAGGCCTGATCTCATTATACCAAAGCTGGTCTCAGACGTGTCAGAATCTAATAAGAGCTTGACCGAGTCCCGGTAAGAATCTATTAGAGTTGGATTCAACCCTAGTAGGATTCTGTTAAAGGCGGAGCGGGTCCTAGTAGGATTCCACCATCGTTTGGTCGAACCGTAGTATGTTTCGGACAGAGCTAAAGCGATCCGTAGAAGCATGTCGTCAAAACTTGATGGAACCCTTGCAGGATTGTGTCAGATATGTATCGAGTCCTAGTTGGATCAAATCCTATAAGAGTTTTGTTCGTTCCAGGTCAAGCTTCGATGGGATTTCGCGAGAGCTAGATCGACCACCATTGAGATTTTTCCAGGGCTGGACACAATCATGCTAGGACTCCATGAGAGCTGGATCGAGCCTTAATTGGATTTCATAGAAGCTGGATCCAACGCTAAGTATAGCTGGATTGAGCTTCGGTAGGACTCCATTACAAGTAGATCCCGTAGAGATCCAGCTTTCTCAGGGTTCGAGCAAAGTTGGGCCAAACTGAGCTTTCGTACGGTTCTAATTGGGCAAGATCGAGCCCTAGTGGGTTTAATGAAAGTTGGACCAGCCCTACTAGCAGCATTCGGCTAGAGCTGGATCGTGGCCTAGTAGGTTTCTATCAGAGCTAGATCGAGCCCCTCGTAGGATTCGTTGAGAGCGGGATCCAGCTCATAAGGATTCCATTGCAGCTAGACCCAGCCTCTTCAGGGTTCTACTTGAGGTGGAGCGGGATCTAATTGGGTTTCTTTCGGGACGGACGGAACTTTACTCCCATTCTACCAGTGCCGACGACTGGCGCCACTGCCGGCGACAGGTGGGCCGTTGCCGCCGCTGACGTTGTCGCCGTCGTCGGCATCGTCGTACGCGTCGTCGTCGTCGTCGTCGTCGTCGTCGTCATCGCGTTCGTCTTCGTCGTCGTCGTCCGTCTTCGCCGTCCGACGTCGTCATCGTCGTCATCGTCGTTGTCGTCGTCGTCGTCGTCGTTGTGGTGGTGGTGGTCGTCGTCGTCGTCGTCGTCGTCGTCATCGTCATCGTCGTCGTCGTCGTTGTCGTCGTCGTCGTCCGTCGTCCGTCGTCTGTCGTCGTCGTCGTCGTCGTCGTCGTCGTCGTCGTCGTCCGCGTCGTCTGCTGACGTCGGCGGCGGCCGCGACGTCGTCGTCGTCGTCGTCGTCGTCGTCGTCGTCGTTGTCCTTTTGGGGGTCATGGATCGTTTCCAGGACTTGTTTCAGGGGGTTGTGTCCCCTGTCTTTTTACCCCTTCATATAGAACTTCTTCTGGCTCGCGACGGTGGATCGCGTTTGCCCGAAATAATGGTAATAGGGGTGCGGGTGCCCTGCGGCATACCTTACTTATGCACGCACGTCGCCTTCCATCACTCAAAAAACAAAAAAACGGCAGTAGCAAAAAGTTTTGGCGCTCCGCGCGGGTTTCTCGGATTTCCACGGGGCCCCCCTGGCGGCGCCCGCGGCGCCGCCCCTGGCGCGTTCCGAGCGCCACGGAGGGGCGTCCAAC